GAAGCCCATCCACACTAAGAATTAGTCAGAATTATTTCGGCTTGTGGATTATTATCTGAAAGTCTTCTGTAGCATTGTTCAATAATCGCATTGACCGCGTCTTGACTATAGCTATATTCAATTCATGGGTTCCTGTTATCTGTGTCAGCGACTGGCGCGTCTTGGCTCCTGCAATCGATAGACTGTTGGAAGCTTTGTTCCTTATTAAAGCACCGATCACAAATTGAGACATTGGCTGCTGCCTGGGTTGTGTACGGAAGTTGTTCTAATCTCTCCTGAAAGTCGAGATGTCTCATAACTGTGGCATCTTCCCTGGATACTTTAAATACATTGTTCTCCGACTATGCACCACCAGTCTGAGGGAGCGCCCTGTGCAGCAGTTACAGGGTATATTGCCACAACTAACAGATTTAAGGTTATATCAGTTGCAATAATATAGTGTAGTAACTTATCAGCCCTGAAAAACAAGACCAAGCGCTTGCGTGGTAGAACAGGGGCGAGAGCAAATGACAAGGATGAGAAAAATAAGGGAAGTCGTTTAGCGATGCATAACGCGAGGCGCTGATTGACGAATGTAGTTCTCATTATATGCCGGAAATTCTCGTATCTAAAAGTGCCGGACAGAGATGACTCCACTGATCGTGATTATCTAGCTGATACATAACCTCATGGAGGAAGGGGATCGAAACTGCTGCCTTTGCTTGCTTTCTATGCTACGCTGAGATACTACGGCGTAGGCCTGTAACAACTCATATACCAACGCATAGATGCATAAACATGAGAGATAGTGAATTGATGCGAGTCAATTTCAAGAGGTCACTTGCAATCGAGCCAATTTCCCTAATACTCTCCATACGGGCTGAAAATGGCAGCGTTAGCCTAAGCCTAGGGCTTGTTTGATTCGCGATCCAATGCCGCTGCTCCTTAAGCAGTTTTAGTGCCTGAAACATAATGGTGGGCCTTGCCGCCTGGCACTATGATTGACTATAAATGTCCTCTACCGGCCCTGTAGATAACATTCGTTAATTCTATGGACTACAAGATTCACTATGGCAGCCATGAGGCAAGACAGCAGAGACTTTGCCCTGCTATCCGGCGAGCCAAGAAGAACCCCCAAGCGCTTGATATTCTCCTACGTGCTCGACTGGATGTTCATCATGTCTGTAGCGTTGACCCTGGCGCGATAAGAACGCCCATTGCTGAAACTCTTCTCATTTGCAGTCTTCTCGTCATCGTCGGTGCCATCCTATACAGCATCACCGGCTCCGAGCACGTCTTCTCCCTCGACGACCCCAGCATTTCCTATCCCTTGAAAACCGACACCGTCTCGATCGTCACCGTCGGAATCGTCTGCTGTGCCGTCCCCGCGCTTCTCATCGCCGCCCTCAGTCTCCTCCTCCCGATCCCCTGGAGACTCCGCCTCTGGGAATGGCACGCCGGGTGGCTGGGGCTGGGTCTCAGTCTCGCCGGCGCCTTCTTCATCACCTCCGGCCTCAAGGACGTGGTGGGCAAGCCCCGGCCGGATCTGCTCGCGCGGTGCCAACCCAACCTGTCGTCCCTCAACATAACCGCGTACGCCGTCAGCGGGCTAGGCGTGGAGCGTCCAGAAGCCCCAGTGATGGTCACCACGCGCATCTGCCAAGCGACCGACTCCAAGACCCTCCGCGACGGATTCGCCGCGTTTCCGTCCGGTCACTCCTCGTTCTCGTGGTCAGGCCTGCTGTACCTGTCGCTCTGGCCGGGGGCGAAGTTCGCCCGTGCTGTTCCTGCTAGTCCTGCTCACTGCCGGGACGCGTCCAGCCGGGCTGCTGCTACTGCTGCTGCTCCACCCGTGTATCTACTCGTGCTGACCGTTATTCCCATCGGCGGTGCACTCTACATCTGCGGCACTCGCTATATGGACTACATGCATGCCGGGTGGGATATTCTGGGAGGGAGTTTGATTGGGATCGTCTTTGCGATTCTGGGCCTCCGGTGGTATCACGCCCCAGCTGGGCAGGGGGATGGGGGCTGGGGCCACGCGTTGGGTCCGCGGTCAGCGGACCATGCGTTCGGGGTGGGCTTGGTTGCCCCAGGGGAGTCTGAGGGTGATGACCACAGGCAGGTGGAGAATCGCGAGGGGTTTCTGGATGTCGAGCTCAACACTATCGATGGAGGCTCGCAGAGTGTGTTGCGGGTTGCCAATCCCTAGGCTGCTTGTTTTGGATTCGGTTTTGTTCATGTCCTATGTACAGTACAGTATGCCGTGTGGATCCTTTTGGTAGTCCGACTTGCGGCTCCTGTACGCTATTGAAGATTCATGCATTGCTCTTGCCAACAAGGATTCAGCAGATTATCTCTTTCGGTAGACAAAGGAACGTATCCATTTCGGACCCTTGCTCCAAGAATTTAGATACGTTGAAAAATACCGGGCGCTCTGACCCACTTCGGGTCTCCGCAATCCGCATTCAAATTTCTTTTACGAAATTCGAAGTGGGTTTGGACCCAGACCCAGTTGCCCCAGTGTGCAATGGGAATTTGGGGATTAACCACGTGTGTGCCCATGCCTCGGATTTCAGGATCCATGAATTCAAGTCAAGAATCGAGTTGATACACCGTTGCTTGCTTGGGGGGAGAGGAGAAATTTGGCTTTCGGCCGCCCGAACTTCCGAACAAATTTGGGAACATAGATAAGGATTGAAGGTACTAGTTAGCAGAGCACCAAAAACGTATGTATCGTAAGATATCAACGTAAGCATTGTGGCTTAGACCAGGGCAGGAAGAGCAGGGAGATTGTATGGTGGGAGTAAACTGATGTTCAGCTGCAGCATTGGGTTGGTTGTAGCAAAAATAGATTAACGTTATGGCTGTTGCCTGTGTGAGCTGCTTCTCAGGGTATTCAGCCGGAAACCCTATCTTCCCCCCATGGGAGCTAAGCTTTCACCGAGCTATACCAGAATTGGTCTAAGATTGCAATGTTACAAGCCACTATCGTTGCATTAAGCAGGAACTCAGACGACCGTAAGCTACAGGTTGAAGAGAGATCACAGTTGTACTCGGGCACCCAGCGATAAATATTGAAAGTAACTACAATAGTGCTTCTTCAGAAGGCTTCTGAATAACGGCTCAGCACCGCCCATACACCTGGCAGTAGCACAGTGTTGAATCCGGACAGCTGAACAACCGCAACCCAGCTTGATTAGTACAATCTGCTCCAGACACGGGGCCCTCAAGGCATGACTTACTACACGGGTTCTTTGCCGAAAATAATATGCCAAAGATATTCCATCACCCGGCCGCTGTGCGCGTCGTCCAGATCCGTCTCGATGACCCATTGTCGGATCTTCACGTAGTCAGCCCGGGGTCTCTTCAGCACCCGCTGTCGGGACACCGCGAACTGCGCACAGCACGGCGCCGCAATCCGGACCGGAATCTGAAGAGCCTTCTCCCCGTCGCTCGGTTGGGATATCATGACCCCAGTGTCGTCGTCGTCATCGTCTGCAGGCGGCGTGCTGGTATTTCGGAAGACCTCCCGGAAGATCTGAGGCGTCAGATGGCCGTGGGGGTATGCGGTCCTCACGCATCCCGGGTTCGCGTTGCATCGCAGGTTGACGTAGCCATTCTGCTGGACAAAGTCAACCCGCAACGCTCGCATGGACCAGACGTTGTCGTGCAACGGGGCGTCGACGTGCCACGCCCGAAAAAACCCCGAGCGATGCGCGTGCAGGAAGACGATGGTCGAGGGCAGGTGCTCGTAGTGCTCGACCAGATAGGTCAGATAGGCCATGGATTCGTGGCCCTTGTTGAGCGGGGTTTTGAGCTGCTGGGTGTCGGCCACGGCTTCTTGGGAGGGGTTCACGGTGTATATGGCCCGTTGCCAGCTAGATATACACACATGGTTCAGCGATGCCTAGCTATTTTGGTGTGGATGCAGTTGGAGGGCGGGGGGTGTTCCAACTCACTCGGGTAGTTCTTGCTCGATCCAGTCGGTGTTTTCCTCCTGTAGTTTAGCGACGACTATCACCTTGTCACCGTAATCTTCTGTCATGTTCCTTGGCGGTCCTGCTGCGGTGGACCAAGAGTTGAACCAGTCGATGGCATATTGCTTTGCCTGGTATTGGTCGCATAGATCACGGAGATGGAAGTCCAGGAGAAGCAGGGGGAGGAGGAGTGCTATGCTGAAGCAGAGGAATAGTCGGAAGGGCCACTTCATGGTGATGTGTACGTTCCTAGCAGAACAAAAACTATCAAGTGACACATGAAGATTGGATAGAGCTTGGAGAGTAGAGGGATCGGTATGCTTGTTTAATATTCGTTGAGAACCTACCTTGTGGCTATACGGACATCTACGTATGCATACTTCAGGCTTCATCAAATCTATGATAGGCTTACCGAGCCCAGCACACTACATACTGTACATGATAGGAGACTGGTCAAAGGTTCCTCATGAATCTAGCCAAGGAGCGCCTGGCAGTCCCACCTGAACCGCACCAAGTGGGCACTATCAAGCTTGAATTTGTAGTGGTAACATATCCGATTTTTCCGGCATTCAATGTGACGAGTGAGCCATTTACACCTACCTAACTGAGACCATCTGCTTACCGATCACTTGCAAACGCTATTTGACAGTATACGTACACGTCCTTTTGATGCTTGTCGGGTACCAGCCATACTTCAGAGACACGCGTCTGGGTCACCGTGGCGAATGTTTCGGTCTGGTATTTTAATTACATCTCCGAAACCCGCAATACCGCATCAGAGAATACAATACCCACAGCCAGGGGATGAATGAACAAACAAGACCAACATCCACCACCGGCAGGTCGATTTCTTATCAGATCTGACCGGCCTCCATCTCTTACTTCTGCACTTCACCGTGATGACAGTGTCTCGTGCCATCCAGCAAGCAGCCATCGCCATTTTGGGGCGGATGCTCGGACATCCGAATATCAACTGTCCGGGGAAAGGAAAAAGATACCTCTACGCCAGGGGGGCGTTGTTGTTGGTGCTTCAATGGCAGAATGGCGTCCCAGGTGATTCTGGAAAGATCCGCTGTACGTCTTCTGTCCGGCTTGAGCCCCAGTTTCCTAGCAAGTTAGTGGCTTGGTGAAACTTTGCAATCTTCCTGTCTCCTTTCCATCCCACAAACCGCGACAAGCACAGATCTGACACCACGCTGACATCTATTGATGTGGTTGACAAGTGCGACCTCTGTCACTCCAGAAAGGTCAGTGACAAGATCGTGACACAAGTCATTTTACTTTCTTCTCCAGCATGTCGTCTAAGATAACAGCTGATATAGGTGAAATGTGACCGACTCGACCCTTGCATGAACTGCGTGGATGCGGAAGCAGAATGTCGAAGGGCTCGGCCACGGCGTAGTATGCGCCCTAGAGTCTCGCGGTAAGTCCCCAGACCTTTCGGTGAGCAGATCGTTTGCTCCGAAAACGTCTGCGCTCGTTGGAATGGCTTCGGGTTGTAACACCCCATCATCTAGAATCTCGGGACTGTCAAAGAGGCTCTCAACACTGGAGCAATACATAAGCAATCCCCATGTTCCTGCGGCATCCGCGAGACAGGAGCCGAGTCGCGACTTCCAAGCGTCTGAAAACAACAGAAACATGATACTAGACATTCCCCCGAGCTCCCAGGCTTCCAACATGAGCACGCCAAAAATCAAGACCGCAGTCGATGATGTGGCTTCTCGACGACCCATAGAAACACCCGCTGCAGTCGAGGACATAGCAACGCAACAAGCCTGTGAGGCACGACGCTCCATTCAGCAGGAACTGCGACAAAGCAACCACTTATCCTGCAACCGACGCACCATCCTGGAAAGTGCTCTATCCCTTGTAAACAAGATATCTGCGCCATCGTTAGAGAAAGGACTGTTCCATGAGAATACCAAAGAGTCGGAGGATTCCAGTCATTCAGGCCTGGAGGAGTTCACCCTGGAGACGTACTTCATGATGTCAGAGGGTTTGTGTTCAAACGTGAAGGAAAATCCTACCCTCTCCCTCTAACATTGGATAGACATAGCACACCGAGATTCGCCCGGGAAGCACTTGCATTGGCCCGACCATGTCTCGGTCAGAAGCCTGGAACATATGAGCCTGTCTCTGGCTGAAGGCAGAGTCGACCGTCAGACATCTCTGCATTATCGCGTCTGCGTCTATACCAAAGCCATTTTTTTCCTCGCCCGTCTGCGGGAACGACAGATGAATGGGCGGCTTCGCAACCATGTTAGAATGACTCGTCATAAATATACTCTAGCAGCTTTCAAGGCTCTAGACCAGGTTGATCTGAGTGGGACGCACTCTCTATCCTTAGTTCAGGCTCTACTATCCGGTGTATGTTGCACGGCTTTTTTAATCATTTGAATGTAGCCATCCTGACCATGTCTCGAATAGGCATTGCTTCATCAGATGCAAGGGAACCCCACGAAGAGCTGGACGCTAACGGCATTCGCTGCGCGGCTGCTTGTCGCCATGAATTACCACAACATTACCAATGATACACCCGTTCGAATACAGGAGGAAGAGGATGCCCGCTTCTGTCTTTCCTCCTGCTACTTACTCGATAAGTCACTAAGCATGCTTCTCCTTCGACCGCCCTCACTTCCACGTCTGGGAGTAAGTTCTGTCGCACTCATCCCTATGGACGACGGCATGTCGCTCAGCACGATCACCAGAACTACGGTTGAACTAGCGGAAGTTCAAGAGGCTGCATTGGAGCTATTATACAGATGGGCGGGGCCTGGGGATACAAGCAACCCTGCAACCGAGCTCGATGGGATGATCCAGCAGTTGATTTCGATGAAGATCGTGATCGAGGAGGCAAGCTGTTTCCTAGAAACTTCCTGCAATTTTGAGCTACAATACTGACCTCAATCAGCGCCGGGCAAGCTCCAGGCCGGAACTGCAGCTAGATTGGATGGCGGTAGAATTCCGATATCACGCGATGGTGACAACCATACTACAGTGCAAATCAAGGATCTGGGGCACGGCTCAGAACCGGGAGGAATGTCTTCAGCATGCGCGACATGCGCTCGAGGCTTTGAGCCGTCTGCAAACAGTTTTCAATGAGGACAGTGCCTTTGTTGGTGCTTACCCGATGTTCTTGACCTGGTGAGTAGAGCTCTTCCTCGTGACTGTATGCTGTATTCTGACGAGGTTTGACTACTCCAGGACTGTTTTCTCTTACCCCATGACTCCTTTCTATATCTTGTTCTGCAATGTGGTTGGGACGTCGAAAGTGGAAGACTTCCAGCTGATGCGCGACACCACCAAGGGTCTTTATCGGTTCATCGATCTAAACCCTGCAATCGGCAGGTTATACCACTTATTCACTCAATTTCTCGTCCTTTGCAGTCCGCTTGTTGAGAGGGAAGCAGAGAGTACCAGTCCCTGCTCTGTCCAGCAAAACATGAACCTCGACACTGAAGAGCCCAGCGTCCCAGTAGATGCTGGTATCCCCGTACTTAGCAAGGACAATCAACTCTACAATGGCTCGGCCCAGGAAGGAACTGGGGGTACCAGATCGTTGGATACGACAATACGACCAGAGATGGATTCGTGGTGGAACAATGCTCAGATGTGGGAACTGTTTGGCACTCAGCCTTCGCTCGAATGGGTGGATTCTGAGATCACCGATTTTGTGGCAGATGGCTATCCGTGACCAGGAATTAAAGACCCAATATTAGAATCTGCCTACATAGATCTTTTTTCCCTTCTAGAGGGCTATGTGAAATGTCCTCTGTATGTTGTGCATGGCTGCCTAGAGTTTCGTGCGGGCCAAAACCGGCAGCAAGCACCTTGACCCAGCAGGCCGAGAGTAAAAATACACAATACCGATTGCTTCCAAGGGTCTCTTCAGGCAGGCCGCGTCAGCTCCAGGGAAAGACAAGCTTTCGGCACTGAGGCTTGGCTCCGACCCATCGGTATTGTCAACGTACCACACTTTACCAACTTGATGGCCTCGCATCCTTTATTCTCTGCTTTCCCCCCCTCCCTCCCCCCCACCCCGAACGATCTGCTCGACATGCTCCGTTAATTCCTATGCGTGTGGATCACTACAGACACTTCTCAGCAATGTCTTTCACCCAACCATATACTCCAGCTTCTTCCTCTCGGGCCATCTCCATCTCACAGTCGCTGGACATGGTGCCTGAAGAAGACTCCGAGATGGATGACTCGCAATTCGAGACTCTACCACTAGACAACTTGAAGAAGAAGTCAACCAGCAGCGGGCGATTGATAAGTCCCCTCGGACTGTTTCGCAGTCTCTACGCTCCAAGGACAAGACCTCGTCGATCCTTCCCTGCACGCCCGCTCTCCCGAAGAGCGCGAATCATCCAAGCCTTGCGGCGGCTATTCTGCGGCGTGGTGTTCATCCTGTGAGTGTTGCTCAGCCTCACTCCCCAGACCGAATGTATATCTCTTCAAACCAACTGACACGGGATCCTGCGCCAGCGGCACATTCAAACTCGCCTCCATCATCTGGAACACCCTGGTCTACCTCTTCCCCGACGACCTCGACGCCCGCCTCGACGGCTGGCTCGTCCCCGGCGGCCGGCCCTCGATCTTCTCGCACTGGACGACGCACGGGGTCGAGCCGGTGCACTGCCACTCGCACAACGACTACTGGCGCGAGGAGCCGCTCTACTCGGCGCTGCGCGCCGGCTGCATCGGCGTGGAGGCCGACATCTGGCCGTCCAACCCCGACCTCCTGGTCGGCCACACGCCGTTCACGCTGCACGCCGACGTCACCCTGCGCCGCCTCTACCTCGACCCGCTGCTCGACCTGCTCCAGAAACACAACACGCGCAGCAGCCAGCTCCAGCCCGTCCACGGGTCGTCCCCGCCCGCGGGCGTGTTCGCCACCGACCCCGCGCAGACCCTCGTCCTGCTGATCGACTTCAAGACCGCCGGCGAGGCGCTGTGGGAGCCCGTGCAGGCGCAGCTGCAGCCCCTGCGCGCCGGCGGGTTTTTGACTTCCTACAACGGCACGGCCGTCGTCGAGCGGCCCGTCACCGTCGTCGCCACCGGCGATGTCCCCTTCCATCGCCTCGTCGCCAACACGACCTACCGGGATATCTTCTACGATGCGCCGCTCGACCAGCTGGAGGGGACTCCGCGGGCGTCGGAGAGCAGGGGGTTCGAGGATTCCCCTCCGGATTCCCCTCCAGCTTTGTCGGAAAGCGACGACGACGGCTACACCCGCGCGAACAGCTACTACGCCTCCGTGGACTTCCGGCGCACGATCGGGAGTCTATCCGGCAATCGGTTCTCGGAGGCGCAGTTGGCCCGCGTGCGCGCGCAGGTCGCCGCCGCGCATGCCCGCGGCCTGAAGGTGCGGTACTGGGGCACACCGGGCTGGCCGCGGGGGTTGAGGAATCATGTTTGGCATGTGTTGGTCAGGGAGGGGGTCGATCTGATCAATGTGGATGATTTGTATGAGGCGACGCGGCAGGATTGGCGGAAGCATCGGAGCTGGGGGTTGTGATTGGGGTTTGGAGCTACATCAGATTGTGGATTTACTAGTTTTGCTCAGGGCCTATGCTCAATGGCTCTCTCTCGGACGGATTTTGGTTCTAAGTAGAGATCTAGCGTCGCATGTCAATAGTGATGAGACTTGTCTTTGGAATAGGACTGAGTATTAGGATCCTGATTCCCCTCTCATTCTTTTTCTTTATTTCGCCTGCAATCCAACCAGAATGCATGCTATACTCAGCCACCCTTTATCAAAGTCTGGATAGCAGACGTTCGTCAATTGGTCATGCCATGCCCTAGCGCAAAAGCACAAGAGAAGTTTTAAATTTTGTCACCGAAACCCGAGTATCAGACCGAAACGCCGCGTATTGTAATAGCCGTTTCGGTCTTTAACCTCGGGATATTGAGCCCGATCCCGAGATGTGGGCGATGCCGAGATCTAGTTTATTTACTCGGTCGACCGATCTCATCACGAGCCTTTCCTTATCAGTATTAGCACATCCGTACCAGCACGCGGCTGGCAAGAACGTAAACCTAGCTAAACTCTCCACCTGGGTTGAAGACATGGCGGAGGCAGTGATCGAGGCTTCTAAAGTCTACATCTGTGTTGGATTTTCCGAACCGAACCAGAGGCCGCCGATAATGACCCAAGATGCTCCTGAACTTCACGCCCCCATGGGCACAAGGGTCATATCAAACCTCATGCTGTGACTGCGGGACCGGAGCTCGCAGTACCGTCCCCCAGATCAACAGCGCAACCGCCAACATCGCCACTAAGATGGGCTGCAGGACTGTCACTCCCTTGGCCTGTGCGATCGCTCCGATCGCGAAAGGGAAGACGGCTCCCCCGCCCATCGAGAACGCAGCTGCAAACCCAATGGCGGCGACATGCAGGTGCTTGGGCAACAACCGCGTCGCAACCACCACAACGCCGGGGAAGATGGTTCCCAAGAAGAATCCCACCAGGGCCACGGCTACGGCGGAGACGACAAACCCGGAACCAGCCAGAAGACCATCTCCAGCGCAATGGCAAGCAAAATGTACAGGATAATCGATCGTTTCTCGCCAATGCGAGGGGTGACGAACCCCAGCACAAAGCGGCCCAGCGTAACGCCGAGCCAGAAGCCCGTTCCAGCCATGCCCGATGCAAAGGAGCTGCCGTGGCGGACACTAGTCATGAATACGACGATCCACCCTCAAATTGCGACCTCGATGCCGCCATACAGGAAGAGAAAGAGAGAACAGATCCAGGTGGCTCGGTACGTGAGTGAGAGTCGGGTCTGGTGGAGCGAGCTTCCACCGCGCTCTCGACTCGCAGAAGAGGGATGATCCTGCTGATACCTGGATGCAGTCTCCGCCCAGAAGGCGCTGGTGGCAATGACGAGTTCAAGCGCCGCCGTCCCCGTCTGGGACTTGCACATTAGTGATGGCAAAACAAGACACAGAGCCCGTGCGGAAAGGGCTGATTTTACCTACCAGAAGGTGATAGTATGAGTTCCATTCCCAGCCAGCTTTCGTGATCACGCTAGTCGCAATCAGCGGACTCACTGTAGCCCCGATGCCATAGAATCCGTGGAAGCATCCGAGGACCTCGTGAGAATTGGCCATGCTGCTGATCCATACGTTCCACCCGGCATTCTGGATCCCGCTACCCAGTCCGACAAAGATGTACATGATCACCAGCACCGGGAAGGGGGGACGTGTGGAGATGACGGCAAAAGCAAGCAAGTGACATGCTGGACCGATAAACGCCACGCCGCGACGACCCAGGCGCTGGTGGATCAGATTAATAACGACCGCGGAGATAGTGTAGCCCAGGAATGGGGACAGGAACATAAGGGAGATTATAGTATAGCTCTTGTCGTAGGCGAGCTGGAGCTGGGAGCATGCAAAGTAGCCTGGATTAGCACTGTACTGACCATGCTCTTATGGGCGCCGAGAAGGCGGAGGTACAAACGTAAGGGATTATCGCCCCATATGCTGCATCATTGGCGCCCATGACCAGTGCGCTCCAGAAGGTGGCCAGTACTCTCCAGATCATAGCCTTTGACCCGTTCCATCGCAGGGCGACGGTGACCGCGTGGGAGGGCGGGGTGTCATTCTCGGGAGCGGGGCTCGCGGGAAGAGATGCAAGGTGTATAGCACCGCCAGACGAGACGACCGAGGGTGGGCGAGTGGGATCGAGATTCATGGGCATGGCAATGGCCAACTCGGTCTTTGTGCAAGGAAATATCCCGAATCTGGTTGGTGGTGATATGGGGATGTGGGAATTTGGGAATTCGAGAATTATAACATTTTGAGAAGTATGTCGGGGGGGAGGAGGGGAGAGGGGGTGTCCCGTGTTGCCAGTTGGCGCGGAGTTAACTTGAGGCGATGGTCTGAGCACTACGTACTCCGTACAAATGCGGCTAATGACAGTAAGCAGGTCATGCAAGGTGTGGTGGGGTTTTTTTGTTACAAGTAATTAATGTCAGATTCCGATGCGAGTTTCTACACCCTCCCTACTGCCTCACCGTACCAGGTTTATAAAAGGCCTGGCTGGCAACAATAAACCAGAAAAAAGAGGGACAACAACTTACAGCAATGGCTGGTAACCTGCCACAAGAGGTGGAAGCCTATCTCGAGGAAATAGTCAAGCGTCTGACGGAATACCTGCAACACCAGCTCGTGGGGATATATCTATTTGGGTCTGCGAGTTATGGCGCCTACGAGTCCGGCCTCAGCGACCTTGACGTACAGGCCATAGTGACGGATCGGCTGAGCACCGTCGAGAAGCAGGCAGTGATCAGCCGCCTAACCCACGCCGCCTTACCTTGCCCGGCGACAAAACTCGAGTTCGTGGTGTAATGCACAGAGCGCGGTGTATCCGGCCCGTCGTCACCCTCGCTTCGAACTCAATCTCAACACGGGGCTTCACCAGCCCGATCATATCAGCCTCGATCCCGCCAACGAGTCCAGCCACTGGTTTCTGCTGGATATCGCGATGGGACGTCAGCTTGGCCGCAGCCTGTGCGGCCCTGATCCGACCCACGCGTTCGGCGCGATTCCTCAACGCTGGATCCTGGAAGCAATCGCGGACTCGCTCGATTGGCACCACGAAAACGAACTCAGCTCTCCCAACAGCATTCTGAATGCGTGCCGAGGCTGGCAATTCATTGTCACGGGCGAGTTCTCTTCCAAATCGGATGGGGCCAAATGGGCCCTACAACAACAGGACTGTCCGGACGTTGTTCGACGGGCAATCCTCGCGCGCAACACAGGCGACAAACTCCCTGCGGCCCAGGCAAGGATGCTCTATGATATTGTTATGACGGCCAACCGTGCCAAACTCGCGACGGATATATAGCTTGACTTGGGCCCCCCAATCCATGGCAGGAGGTAAGCCATCGGGGTTCTAGAGCAGGGGTGGACAATCGAGATCTTTATTTATCTATACTCAGATTTTAGGCCAGTTCAAGAGTATGCGAACAGATGATTTATCGGGTCTTGAGGAGATGTGGTGATGTCGAATGACACGATCTTCCTGCGCAATCTAATAACAGGATGCTCAGGACGTTCAGCTACTTTAGCAGTTTTGGAATTTCTTGGTTATGGAACCAATATTTGACGTTGGCCGGATCGAGGTTCCTTACCATTCAGCAGTGGGTTGGGTTTGTTGCTGGTGTCTTGGGTAAAGCATTTCAAATCAAAGAACCGTATAGAATATTACTCGAAGCAGTATAACCGAGGGCTCTGAAATGATAAGTCTATGACTTGATATACAAATCATAATTCTAATTCATACTCTGTTCACTAGATCTGCAGGCTCGCTCGCTCGCTCGCATAGCTTGCTCGGGCAGTGGCAATTACATTAATTACTACCTTGTCGGGTGTAGTCAGCCAGCTTCTACACCAATAACCAATCCACCCTCCAAATCAAACCCAACAACCAGCGATACGATTCTAGATCTCGATCTCCATCGATGGCTCGATGGCTCGATTCATCCCTCGATGACCCAAGATCCCGATCGATCTTTCTTGCCTGGCTTTCTTGCAGTGTGATTGAACATCCACCTCCAAGTCAGCAGGGATAGCATAGCACAGCACAAGAAGACAAAGGAATATGGCGTGGTCGATCGAGAATCCGACACGGGATCGAGATGGGCGATCGATGATCGGGATCGGGTTCGATGAATGACGATATTCTCTGTGCGGGCTGTGGCGTTGGTGGGCATACTCGGTGATGTACTGAGTACTCGGTATTCTTTTGCTGGGACTGGACTGGACTGTGGCCTGGGTGTTGTTAGCAATTACAAGGACTATGGAGTACGGAGTAAGGCTGCTAGGATGTGATCTCCTACGGAAGACCATTATAGCCACTCAGCAAATAAGAAATCTGCCGGCAAAATTATAAGTAGAAGTATTATATATATATAAAATTTTTTAATAACTTTAATAAAAAAGAATAAAAAAATTTTTCTAATAAAAAATTTTAATAATAATATTTTTAGTCTTTAAAAATTCTAAATATTCTTATATAAAAAGAAGCTGAATCGATTATATAATTTGAAAATTTCCAAAAAATTTTCAGAAAAATAATAACTGCTGCAGTAAGAATATACAAAAAAAATTCTATTTGCGGAGTGGCTGCAGTGGTCTTCTATAGATAGGGGTTCCGAACCATCTATACCCAAACAGGTAATAATGTTGCGGTTAGTGCTTAGTACGCATGCTATCCCAGTCTCAGCCAGAAGGCATTTGTAGTATATGTTTCCATTGTAGGTGGTGTTCTATCGCATGACTATCAAGAAGTTTGTCTCGGATGGATGGCATAGTGCGGGGATGGTCTTAGCTTGAAAGCCTCTTATAATGCACAAGCTACTCAGTCCTGCTTGTATCCAACTCCAACTGGGAGGAGGGCGATCATCGCAAAGACTGGCCCGAAAGAGGAGAGAACATGCGAGAGATGGTACCAGGATAGAATTGCAACTCAGCACTGATGCTTAGAGCACATGATATAGATCTTCTGATCGGCGACACCATCCATCGGGCAGAACTTTGACTGGGACATAAATCATTTGTCTCGACTAAAGCATTGTGTGAATAACGACATCGGCCACAAACCCACTAGCCACAGGAAGTACATGGGCCGCAGCAGCCACAGATGCCAAGCTATGAGTAATTATCTCGATCAGGTGATACGTGGCCATCATCTCGGCTCAACCATAATCCGGCTCCTGAACGGGGGCAATTCCTCCGACTAGTTCGCATCCCCGAAGAGCACAGCTGGCCCATTCGCGTTCCACCCCATCCAACATTCTGTCCTCAATCCACCCTTTCCACTCATTGCACCACCACCCCCCAAATCATCCTCCTCACACAGTCACCATGTCCGACCAGGTCCAAGAACTTCTCAACGTGCCTCGCGAGTTCCTCCGCGAGGGTATGCAATTCGTCAACCGCAGCCAGAAGCGTGAGTCTCCTGCTCCCTCGTGACCTCTCACCTCCGTGACTCTTTCTTGAAAGCATTTGGCTAATGCGCAACACAGCCGACAAGCGCGAATTCATCAAGATCAGCCAGGCTGTTGGCACTGGTTTTCTCATCATGGGATTCATCGGATACATTGTCAAGCTGAGTATGTGTCGCCTTCCGAGTGTTGCGGCCCCGTCGGACATTGTCAACACCAGAGACTATAGCTAATGAACGAATGCAGTCCACATCCCCGTCAACAACGTCCTTGTCGGTGGCGCCTAAGCGATTTCCTTTCTTCGGGGATTGGTTGCTGAGTGGTCGTTCGGATCACTTCCCAAGCGGCATGGGACCCAACCTGCGGACTTGAACTTCGACCGGCTGTCTCGGGCTCATGGCTTCTACTGGGGAATAGCAATTGGTGGTCGGAACAGAGCGGGGAAGATTGGAAACGGGTCATCTTATCGTATTATACCTCACCGCGCGAGTCTTGGACTTTACAACAAGCGTCTTGATGTCTTTTCGTGTCGCCGGGCCGGGGGACGCTGTCTGGCCCGAAGGGTCGCGCGGCAGCTTTCTCCGCGGGTGGAAAAAGGAAGCCGGTCGGTCTTCGAGAGATCGGGCTGACCGGCATATGTGCATAATCAATCTGGGTAGGCGTTTATGGGGTGCTCTCTAATGAGAACTTGGTCTTTCTATATGTTTATGCTCGCTTCAGACCTGCGAGTGATCTACAAGCATGAGGAGTGCTCTAATGTGCACTGTCACGGTCGAAATCGCTCCCAACAAGCACTTGATAACTGGATTCGATAGGGGGCATCCCAAAACCAGAGCTCTCACAACACCACAATAACCCCCCTCCCCAATGATAAGTCATACAAGATGATGTCACCACTTCCATAACACCAATTGCTTTATCTCATACCAATGAAGTAGGCTTCAAAATAAAAACCACAGTAAGAAACCCAGGAACCGACAGTAAACTCGAACAAAATCATTATCCCACCTTGACCAAACACCCAGCCACCCAGGCAAGCCAGTGGATCCCAACTGCCGACATCCGAACCCATGCTTGACTTCATCATCACCACCACCACGGCACACAGACTCCACCCCAGCCCTGAACTACGTAGCACATCTACCTCACCAAGCTCCAGGGGCATAAATCCCCCCTCCCGCCCCTTCACCTCCGCAATATTCTTCCCCGAAAAGCTACCGATAACAACCCAACGACCCCAAAAAAAGATGGCCCCCATCTCCCCACCCCCACAACTCACCCACCTCTTCACCCTCCGCTGCGCCGTCGACCCTCCCATGGAGATCGGCCACGGCCCCTACGGCCGTCGCCGCTGCGTCCCCATCAAATCCGGCACCGTGCGCGGCAATTTCCTCAATGGGGAGGTCGTCCCCGGCGGGGCGGATTTCATGTATGCTTTTTGCCCGGCCCTCTTTCCCCCTCCCCCCCGAACCCAGTTTGCGCGACAGAATTGTCTAGTATTGGTGAGTTGAGTGGATTGTGGAAGCTGACCTGCGGAAAAAGGCTCGTCGAGGAGGATCAAACCACGCATGTGAATACCAACTACGTGATTAAGAGTGATGATGGGGCGTTTATCTATATTCGGTAGGTTGCGTTCATAGTCCTGGGGTGATCTCGCCGGGGCTGCTAAGGCGACGATGTGCGAGAGGCCTGTTTTGAATGGAGAGGGGGTGGGAGAAGGGGTTGCTTAAGAATAATTGGGCAGGCTGAGTCGAATGGCTAATGCTGAACTGCAATATAGGACTGAGGGAACCCGCTCCGGTCCTCCGGAGGTCTTGAAAGCTCTCATGGAAGGCGATGATCAGGTTGACCCCGACCAATACTGGTTCCATTTGCATATCAAGTTGGAGACGGGGCATGAGCGGTACCGGTGGATGAACAATAGGGTCATTGTGGGGAGGGCGACGCGCGCCAAGGGGGAAGTTGCGTACGACGCATATTTCCTGGACAACAACTAGTTCGACTCATTGCATTAGCGGGCTCGGATATTTGACTTGGGGGTTTTGCGCGAATTCTATTCCGAGTGAGATAGAATATAATGAAGAGATAAGATTTATGGTTTAGTTATTACAATGAGTAACATATATCGGAATGATAAGGAGTAAAGAAGAACTAGGCGTGGAGATTGCGCAGCAATTCCCCCAAATCAATCCCCTCCGCAGGACTCGCTTCCTGGCGAGCTAGCACCTCTTCTGCGATCTGGTTGACCCAAAGATACTCTGAGTGAAATCCACGCAATTCGATCAAGCGCTGGCGCAGCCAGTCGCGCTGAATCGGATCCTCCGTCTCAATTAGTGCCATCAACAAGGGCCAGTGTAATCGACGTAGGAGACGGGGGTCCACGGCGTATTGCTTGTGTGTGTTTTCGAGGATCCCCGTCAGAGCCTGGCGGTGGAGTGCAGCTGGGGCCTGGCTGGAGCTGAGTAGACGGCGGTGAAAGAGAATGAGCGCGTAGAAGTTGCTAACAGCCATATAAATTGTGTTTAACGTACGGCGGGTGGAGCCGGCCCCGGAGATTTTAGCGGTAACGAGAAGGTCGGAGAAACGCTGTCTGGGTTTAGAAAAGAAGCAATGCAGAGACAGTGGGAGACTTACATCGCGCACAGAGAGAATCTCGGTGTATAACGTATCGGCTGTGTATGCCGAATCTGCAGGATCGCCTAGACATTTCCAGGCCTTGTGCCACAGTATGAAGCCAGTGTGAATCAGCTCTAAGCCCCGGTAGTTTTCCATATCATCGGCGATTTCTTGGTCGGGGTACTGCTTGCCCCAAAAGCAACGACTCCAAAGACGTGCGCTTCGGTGAAGTTGGTCTGGGTGTAAAGCTGGTTTGTTGGAGTTGAGCACGTAATCTGTCAGT